GACTTAGCGCATGAATTGGCAGGCGGGGTTTGGGCTGTGGTGTAATTAGAGTGTCTACTACCTAACTCCATCAAAATCTAAGAAGGGTCCATTTTGCCTGTCCACTACCTTTAAGTCGTTTCTTTTTTGACATATCTCAATGCAATTCGATTTAGTTACTATCCCGACTATTATGATGAGATCTCGCGTCCCATGTCTTTGTTCATGATTAACAGAAAGTTAAAAAGAAATGGTTATCGTACCTTTGAAGAGCTATTCAAGGATTTCATGCAAGTACGTTTCCTTTTTGGGCTTTATCGCTTCCTAATCCGCTCACCCATAAGCTGGTTGTCAGTCTCTATCATGGATAATCCATTCAGGTATTTGATAATGCATGCGAATACAACATGGAATCCTCAGATATATTCATAGCTGCTCAAAAATTACAAAATTTGACGATTCGAAGAGCGCGGGAACTTCAACCTAGTCTTGATCTATCGGTTAGTTGCAAATAATTCAATTTATGGTCTTTTCTTGAAACTTACTTCTTAAGCTCTGTTTTATTCAGTTGTATGACAAGAAGTTCAAGCCTCACCAGCCTCACCCTACACCACCCCCTCCACAAATAAGATTGCCGAAAACACCAAGAACCCCAAAAGTTGATCCTGAGACCGACTCTGATGACAAAGTAAGATTTGAAGTTTTTTTTTGTAACTGTATAAGACTTCATCTCGATATTTTAAGGAGACTCCTCCCCCGTCTGAGAAGAAAAAAATTCGGTCGCAGAAGAGAATGCGGCCTATATCAACAGGAATGACCGCCGAACATGTCGCTTCACCAGGACGACCGGGGCGTAAAAGCATGGACGAGCTGATGTTGCGATATCGGCTGAAGCTCGTGTATTTTTGGGATCTCATTTACAATTACAAGGTACCGTCTTTTTTGTATTTGAAGATGATATATTTTTCGTATTCAAGGATGGAATGTACTGGCCTGCTGGTGCCTTTATGGAGCTGCCATCAGCCCGAGAATACCCTGACTATTACGAAGTGATCAAAAATCCGATTGACTTGAAGACAATCAGGGAGAAAATCGAGAATAATAAGGTGGATTTGCGTGTTTTTGGCTTTTCTTCTTTTTTCCTTCGCGGCGTTTTCCTTTTTTTTT